CTCAGGTCACGATCCCAGGGTCCTGGGATTGGGCCCCGCGTCGGGATCCCTGCTCCGCGGGGAGTCTGCTTGTCCCTCTGCCACCCCGCCCCATGCTCATGCTCCCTCTCTCTCTCTCTAATAAGATCTTTACTAAAAAAAAATAGAAGTGAAATGCTGACTCTCTTGGCACTTTTGAGAAGGCCCATCCCACTGAGGAAGTGGACAGACCTGTTGGGTGAGGGGCAGGACCCCACACAGGAACGGCACACCGGCACAATGGCCACTGAGAAATCGAAACCCTTGTAAGTCTCTTAAGCATGCAAAAGTCACCCAAGCCATCACCAGGCTGGCCAAAAACCACAGAAATGTCCTTGGACTCAAGGTCGCCTGCTCTGTGCAACTCAAAATGACGTGTTCAGGAGGCAGTAAAGAGCGCACTCTGAAACCAGACTGCCGCAGGGTTCAAATCCCAGCACTACCACCCACCAGCCATGGGCCCTTGAATGAGTGTGCCTCAATTTCCTCATCCATAACATAGGGGTAACAACAGCAGAGTAAGCTCTCACTAAATAATGCCTACTGGGGCCTGGCCTCTTCTGACCCTGTCCTAAATCATGGTATAAATGACAGTATGCCTTCCCCAACCACCCAACCCCCAACCCACGAACAAAACTCTGCTTTCAACCAAGCTGATGAGAAAAAGCAAAAGGCCTACATTAACTATTTCATTAACCAATGTTTGGAAGCTAAAAACCAATAAGCACTCACAGAATCCACATTCACAAGGAAGGAAGGAAGTATTGGGGGCACCTGGGTGGCTTAGTTGCTAAGCGTCTTGTCGGCCTTCAGCTCAAGTCATGATCTCAGGGTCCTGGGATCGAAACCCCGCATCGGGCTCCCTACTCAGAGGGGAGCCTGCTTCTCCCTCTCCCACTCCCCCTGCTTGTGTTCCCTCTCTCGCTGTGTCTCTCTCTGTCAAATAAATAAATAAAATCTCAAAAAAAGAAAGGAAGTATTAAAATCAATAGTTGAAACTAAGTCTTTTTCCACAAAGAAAAGTACATTTTTATTGTTTTATATAACCATGAGACATTCTTCCCAGCTAAGAGATAGATATAAATTCCATTTTTAAAAATTTATAGGGGTGCCTGCGTGGCTCAGTTAAGCATCTGCCTTCGGCTCAGGTCATGATCCCAGGGTGCTTGGATCAAGCCCCACGTCGGGCTCCCTGCTCAGCGGGGAGTCTGCTTTTCCCTCTCCCTCTGCCCCTCTCCCAGCTCATGCTTACATGCTCTCTCTCTCTCTCTCTGAAATAAGTAAATAAAACCTTTTAAAAAAAATTTAATTTATGGGGGCTCCTGAGTGGCTCAGTCGTTAAGCGACTGCCTTCGGCTCAGGTCATGATCCTGGAGTCCCGGGATCGAGTCCCATGTCGGGCTCCCTGCTCAGCAGAGTCTGCTTCTCCCTCTGACCCTTCTCCCTCTGACCCTCCCCCCTCTCATGCTCTCTCTCTCTCATTCTCTCTCTCAAATAAATAAATAAAATCTTTTAAAAAAAAAGCTTACTGGACTGAGCTACCCAGGAGCCCCAACAATTTAACTTTTAAATCACTAGGAAGTTGGGGCACCTGGGTGGCTCAGTTGGTTATGTGAAGGACTGTTGATTTCAGCTCAGGTCATGATCTCAGGGTCCTGAGATTGCTTAGGGTTCTGCGCTCAGCAGGGAGTCTGCCTCTCTCTCTCCCTCTTCCTCTGCCCCTCCCCTGCACTAGCTCTTTTTAACCTCTCTAAAATAAATAAATAAATTTAAAAAAAATAAATCACTAGGAAGTAAACTATTTTTAATTCAAATATATAATTGTAATTTGGGGATGGCAATTTCACCAAGTTTCTTTAAAGACAGGAAATATTAATTAGCAGCAATGATATCTTTTATTACACACTAAGCACCTAAAATGCTAGGTGCTAATTACTACATCACTTCATTCCCTTAATCCTTTTAGGAGGCATAGGCTCGTTTTACAGTAAAACCTCAGCCTTGAGGTTGAGTATAATGGTTCTGATAGAGAACTGATTGCTAGCACCTGTGTGAGGCTTTAATATTAAAATGATATAGAGGGGCGCCTGGGTGGCTCATTCGGTTAAGTGTCTGAGTCGAGTTGGGCTCCTTGCTCGGCCGGGAGCCTGCCTCCCCCTCTCCCTGCCTCTCCCTCTGCTTGTGCGTGCTTGCTCTCTCTCTCTCTCTCTCTCTCTCAAATGCATAAATAAAATCTTTAAAATAAAAAAATAAAATGATATAGAAAGATAAGTTCAGGGGGTGGCTCAGTCAGTTAAGTGTCTGCCTTTGCTCAGGTCATGATCCTGGGGTCCTGGGTTCCAGCCCCGCATCTGGTTCCTGCTCAGCAGGGAGCCTACTTCTCCCTCTCCCCCTGCTCATGCTGTCTCTTTCTCTCTCTCTCTCAAACAAATAAAATCTTAAAAAAAAATAGTAAGTCTGAAACTTGAATGTGCATGTGAATCACAGGAGGAATCCTGTTAAAGTGCAGATTATGATTCAGAAGGTCTAGGGTTGGCTCTCCAAGTCTGCATTTCCAACAAGCTCCCGGATGCTGGTAATGGTGCTGTTCTATGGACCACACTTGGGAGTAGCAAGGATTGCTACAGGTTCCAAGAGGCCACAAACCACAAAAAACATCCATGAAACAACTAAAATGAAAAAGTGAGATTTTTCTCAAAAACAATATGTTAACCATAATACAAGCTCTAAGGTAAGAATTATAACTTATCCATATTTCCTGATGGGATTCTGAACTTTGTAAACATCTTAAAAATATCTTCATGATGACTTCTTGTTTAAATCTAGAGTCCAGGGGCGCTTGGGTGGCTCAGTTGGTTAAGCGACTGCCTTCAGCTCAGGTCATGATCCTGGAGTCCCTGGATCCAGTCCCGTATCGGGCTCCCTGCCCGGCAGGGAGTCTGCTTCTCCCTCTGACCCTCCCCCCCTCATGTGCTTTCTCTCTCTCCTTCTCTCGCTCTCTCAAATAAATAAATAAAATCTTTAAAAATAAATAAATAAAATAAATCTAGAGTCCAATTTCTCGGAGCTTTGTGGGGGATCCCCCCTGCAAAAAACCCTGACTAGATATCAAGGCTGAGAAGCCAAGTACATGGAAGACTGTTTCAAGTTGCCATACCCTTCAAGCAGGTTCCTTTTTTTCACTCACCCACACATCCTCTTACTGTTTAAATTCAAACATGGGACAAATGGCAGAGTTACGTGAGATTTTAGGGGCTGGGCCCGCAAGTTTTTCCAGATGAAAAGCAAATTTCTACAAGAAAACAGCATCTTACCAAAAGGCAATGACAAATACCACCGGCTTCCATTTCTGGCCTTAGGTGACAAAGTCCCCAGCGATGAGATGGCAATCAGCACTTTATACAAACTACTGATTTTCATTCTTTTACCAGATCCTTTGAGTGGCTAGTTCTCTTTACTTTCAAAAGTCCACAGAACAAAGCAAGGTACTTAGCAAGGCCCTTTTTTCCACCTGGGTCCAAGTTCACGCCCTGCTCTTTTTTACTCATTTCTGATTATCTGTGCTGTATTCAAACATTGGCTAGCTGCCTCTTTTAAAAGGCAGTTATACACCACTCTCCTCCCTCCCCCACCTCCTCCATTCTCTTTGCTAACAGCGATGCCTAACTACAGAACCAACATATCCCTGAGAACATTCCAGCTTACCGGAAAAGGTCAGTTTAAAATTCTAGATAGGGGTAACCTATTCCATTTGCCTTTTTTAGAGTCCTTCAAAAATATCCCCTGGCCATCAGCAGAACAAGCCGAAGAGAGAGAGAAAATAGTCTATGATTCTGCAATTTACAAACACTGAGACCTTCATTTAAAGGGTGTCCACATTTTATATTGTTCCCAAGGGATGTTTATCTATGTACTCAACTAAGCATAAGCCCAGTGCCTGGAAGAAACAATGTACACACATTGCAGCTCTAAGCAAATGGCTTCTCTGGCCGAGAAGGCTATAAAGTTTTGCTGCCGGGCCTCAGAGGAAGGCCTACCTGTGACAGGGAATATGGGGACATGTTTTTTTTTCCTGAATTGGAGCATGCCTTGTCCACAAGAGAGCTAAGCAACTGCCCGGAGAGGCCTGTTACAAAACCATAAAAGAGGGGCAGAGGTGGCAGGCCCCTGCCCTGAATAACCTGGAAGCTGAAAAGAAAAATTCTGAGACATGAGCTCTACTATCGGCAAGTCTGACAGAAAGTTCTGTTTCTGTTGCCTCCAACACTGGCTGCCCTCCTCCAGTGATTTAACTCTGGGTACCAATTGGGCAATGCCAGCCACTGTGCTGGGGCAGAGGATTCAGGGATGCTGGTTGGGTCTTCTAGGTTAATTAGCGGGAATCAAACCTCTGCGGTACAAACTGGAGACTTTGGGGGGCAGATCTGGGCACCCCCCCTGCATCTAGGCTACATGCCTCCATTCAACACATTTATTGAGTGTCTACCCTATGCCCTGCACTCTGCTAGGTGCGGAGGAGGAAATCAAGCCACAATCCCCAGTGGTGGAAGCAGACAGAGAAGGGCCTTCAGCGGAGGTGGAGGTTGTGAGGGCCCCGAAAACCTGCCACAAATTGCTGTGACCAGTAGTCACCCAGGGGACAGCATGACCTCCGCGCCGGGCTTCGCTGACCACCAAGCCCAATAATGAAAAAGGCTCGCGACCGCGAAGGCGGGAGTGAACAGGTAGGCCCGGGGGGCAGGTGTTCAGGTAGGAGGCGCACAGCTGAGGCTGCAGGGCTGGAGAGGGCAGGATCCCCAGGGAAGGAGGGAGGGCGGCCCAGGACCCCGCGAGGGAGAGGGCGCGCGAGCAGCTGGGGTCTGGCCCGGGGAGGCGAGTGCGCGGCGGCGGCCGGCAGGGCCTGCGCCCCCGAAGCGGGAGCGGGGAGTGAAGGCGCCCGGCTAGGCCGCCCGCCCGCACCTGGGTCCCCGCCCGGCACCTACCACTTGGGCGACCTTGAGGCAGCCGAGCGCGCCGCGCAGGTAGTCGGGGTCGCAGCGCAGGCCGGCCAGCCCGCGGCGCTGGCTCACCGGTTCGGTGGTGGGTTGGTACGGGCTGCTGGCGCCCGAGATCATGGAGGTGCTCGAGGCCTCGCCCTCGAAGCCGTCCAGCTCCTCGCCGCTCCGCATGCTGCCGCCCGGCCCGGGCCGCCTCGCGCGGCCGGCCCCCGGCGCCCGGAGCTGGCGGGCTCAGCGGGGCCGCCGCATCGCCACCGCCGCCTGCCTGACCGCCCGCGGCCCGCCCCACCGCCGCCGCCGCCTCCTCTGCGCCTGCCGCCGGCTGCAGCCGCGGCTCGGTCCGCTCGGGCTCGGCTCCCGCCGCCTCGGCAGCGGAAAGGGAGGGAGGCGGGAGCAGGAGGAGAGGGAAGGAGGCGGGAGCCGGCGCAGCGGGCCGGGAGGGGGCGGAGCGAGTGCCCACCCGCCGGCCTCTCGGCGGCGCTCCGCGGCTGGGGCGAGACGGAGGCGGTGGCCCGCGCCTAGGGGCCTCGGGGGGCGGGGCCTCGGGGGGCGGGGCGGGCGGGGCGGGGCGCCGTCTCCTCGGACCCCGCCCTCACCTGCCTGTGCGCAGGGGCCGCAGGGGCACGCTCCAGGTCCTGCGATCCCCGCGTACGAGGGCGGGGGTCGTGAGGGCAGAGAGGAATGAGGGCTGAGGGAGCGTCAAAGTGGACCTAGAGTACACAGGGTTGCTTTCCCAGGGTGCTGCCGTAGTTTTTCCTCTGGAGAAAGTGGGGTCCTCTGCAGGTAGGCTGGGAGAGTTCCCGCTGAAGACCAAGCTGTGCTGTGCGACCCCCTGCTGCGAACGGCGCTTGGTCCAGGGTGGGTTGGACCAGAGGAGGCTAAGGGTCTGGGTTCCCACCCTGGGCGCCTTGCAACATAGCAGAACTGAAGCCAGGGACTGAGCGCGGCGGGAGTGAAAGAATGAGTGAGAGGTCGCTCAGCACGAGGTCTGCAGAACAGACACGATAAATATTTGTAACTCCCAATGTAAAGTTCTAGATCCACCGGCCTGACCGTGGAGGGGCGCTAACACATTGTAGACCCTCGGTAAGCAACGTTAGTTGCCTCTCAGCTGAAAAGATTTTGCAATCTCTGTCTAATCGTCAAGTCAGGTTAAACACAGATTTTTTCCTCTGACGGGCATTAATTAGGGACCAATTTGCAATTCAAGTGTGAAGGCTAATTTTAAGCTCGAGTAAAACACTGACTTTCTAAGAATTGTTGCTTTGGTACTGAACTCTTACACACCAGAAATATTGAGAGCTTCCTATGCTCTAGGCACTGAGCAAGACGCTTGAAGAAGGTATTACTGTTCCCATTTTACAGAAGGGCAGATTAAGACTCAAGAGTGGTAGTAGCTTGTCCCCAGCGACACAGTTCCTTGGTGAGCAGAACCTGGGTTCCAACTTTTCACCACGCAGTATTGCCTAATATATAATGTAGAAAGGCTGGTGAACTCCAAGCTGAGATGCAGTAAACACCCTAACTAAAAAGATTTCCATTTAAAGGGCTTTCACCTTTAGGTTACCAAAGATGGGAAAGACAAAGATCTCTAATACTCTATCCAACCCTATTGGGCACTTACTGTGTGCTAAGAAATATACTAGGATCTGGAGACAGATTGCCAGGTAAACAAGACAGGTTGGATGTAGGCTTTGGCTTCTGATGTCTCCCAAAATCCCAGTAAAATGACAGTGATGGGGATTTGGGGTGGGGGGCATAAAACCATTGGGACAAAGAATGGGAGACAAGGGCAACAAAGTGTTGGAAACAGAATAGCAAATGGGCCATTGGTAACTGACTTAGCAGACCCAAGAAAGCTAAACCCTACACTGGCACAGGGAAAAGCTGAACTACAACCTAGGTTATATCACAGGACAGAGGGCTCTAGAACAGGCAGCACCAAGCCCATGTCGGAGTAGATCACTAGGCACAGTGGAGGGCGGGGGTACCATACTGAAAATTATGTATTTGTGTGTTTCTGTGTCTCTGTGTATCTCCTTGGATGCCAAATAATATGAAAGCAAAAAAAATTTTTTTAATTCAATAAAAGAATTAGAGAAAAGGAAATCTTACGGGAGGTAGAGCCGAAAGACAAAGAAATGGGAAATGAGAGAAAAGAAAACTAGAAGAATAGTCCAAAAGAATAATAGAATAGTAAGACTTCCATAAAGTTAAAACCAAGAAAATGGAGGGAAGAAACCATAAAATAATAATTCAATAACATTTTCCAGAACCAAACATGAATTTTGGACAGTGCCCAGGACAGTGAATGAACCTGGACTTGCACCCAGGCCCATGGGACTGGCAAGGAGAAGATTCTCAAGGTTACAGAGAGGAACACAGCAGGTTTCACGTTTATAAAGGATCAGGAATCAGAAAGGCATCAGACTTTTCTACAGCAACTTTGGGAGCTACAAGGAAATGAAGCAAACCCTTCCACATCCTGAGGAAAAATGATCCTCACCTCGAAATCTGGTTCTGTCTGGAGTATCAATCAGTTATGAGAGTTGATGTCTCTTTCAGACATGTAGAGACTCCCTTTGTCCTTTTCTCAGGTGGCTGCTGGAGGACACCACCAAAACAAGGATTTAAACCAAGGAAACAAAGGACACGGGATCCAGGAAAGGGTGGATGCTGTCTAGAGAGAGGTGGTGAGAATCCCAGGGTGAGGGGACAGAGGCCCCAGTGCAGCAGGGCTGGGAGTCACCCAGTCCAGACTGGAGCAGCCAGAGCCTCTGAGACTTCTTCAAGATGAAATTCATGTGTTGAATATACAGAAAGAGAGATACATAGTTTTGGGAAAGTTTTGACATAAGGATAAATGCATAGAGAACTAAGCAAAAATTCATATATATTTATTAACTGCAGGGAAAAGAAAATGATGCATAGAAAATAGGTATGGTAAATCTCAAGGCTCAGCTGTCAGTAATATTTGCATAACTATAATAATGTAAACAAGGAATGCTGATCTAACCAGAAGTAACTGTAGCAGAAAAGACAGAGGGACAGGGTGTGTGCAGGTGTGGTAGGGAGAAGGGGAGGGTATGCAAGAGATCTAAATACTCATCATCTATCATGAGAGATCAGTAGATGCTTAAAACTGAAAAATCAAGGGCGCCTGGGTGGCTCAGTCGTTAAGCGTCTGCCTTCGGCTCAGGTCATGATCCCAGGGTCCTGGGATTGAGCCCCGCATCGGGCTCCCTGCTCAGCGGGAAGCCTGCTTCTCCCTCTCCCACTCCCCCTGCTTGTGTTCCCTCTCTCGCTGTGTCTGTCAAATAAATAAAATCTTAAAGAAAAAAAAAAAGCTCAGGGGGGCTCCGGCTGTCTTAGTGGAGCGAGCGTGTGACTCTTGATCTTGGGGTCATGAGTTCGAGCCCCATGCTGGGTGTAGAGATTACTTAAAAAAACAAAATATTTTTAAAAATTTTAAATATTTAAAAATAAAAGCTAAGTTAAATACAATTTTTTAAAAAAGGAACTTGAGAGTCCGGGGTGAGCAAGGCAGATACAGGCCCTGTCAGCATGGATGTGGAGAGCAAGTATTGAAACCTGTAAGCATGTGCTCTGGGAATTTCCAGCAAGGATTTAATTGAATCTCTGGATCAGAATTTCGGCTGAGATTTGAAATGTGAACAGCAGTCAGCTAAGCAAAGAGATGATAAGGTTTGATGGAAGTGTGTTCCAGGCAGAAGGAACAAGATGTGCAAAGGCCCAGAGACAAGCAAAAGCAGGGCACTGTGAAGAGGCTCAAATGCAGAATTTAAGGGGAGGAGAATGGCAGACAAGACCTGAAGCTGGAAGGAGGACGGCAGACAAGACCTGGAGCTGGAAGCAAGCCTCCTGCCGGTCCCTCCAAAACTCTTATGGGCCATGTGACAGGGTAGACTCTGAACAGGCAGTGTTAAGCAGGAGAGTGGCCCTGGGGAGGCCTGACTTTAAGAACTCTGACTTCATTGAGGGAGAAGGATTGAGCGGAAGCAAGATTAGAGGCTTCCTCCAGTACTTATTAACTGTTCCCTGTTCCTGGATACTAGCCTAGGTTTATTTTTAGTTCTAGGGACAGACTCAAAATTTTTACTTCTGGTTTTTAACAGAAGTTAAACAGACTTCCAAAGGCTGTTGTTAGGCATCCCACATAGTAATGGTAGGTACAACTTGGTATTATGGTGCCTTCCTCAGTTTTAAATTGTAATATATCATGAGTCTGTGACTGTAGCTGGGCCTCCAAGTGTCTGTTAGTGCTGAGATCAAAATGAGGATGATAAATGTTAGAGAAGTGGTCAGCCTTCTGATAGGTTCCTTGGTTTCAGGGTCTGGTCCACATATCCAGGGCTGACTCAAGGCAACCAGACTCAGAAGAGCCTGATGGACAAACCAGATGTTACTTTATTAATTGCTGCCAGCGGATAGACTCTACCAACAATCATAATGCTAATTCGTATCTCAATCCCCGAACTCATCCTGAAAGAGTTTCTTGGAGCATAGCATCCTTAAATAGGGGCTATTCCCCAGGATACCCCGGCTCACCTGATCAGGCCCGGCCTGGCCCAAGTTCCTCAACCTCTCATTTAGCCCTGAGCTTAGTTCCCTCCAAGGGCAACCATCTCCAAGTCTGGGGGCCTCCTCACTCTAGCCCCACACCACAAACACAGTGATTCCATGGACTCATGGAAAGTTCTAACTTCAAGAGCATTGGTCCTCCAAGGACTTCAGATTCTTAATTCCATGAAGGACTGGGAGCAAAACACCTTCCTGAATGGTGTGGTCCCTGGTGGTCTTTACCTGGAGGCAGTGCCTGGCGTTGTTGAAGCAAAAGGGCGTTCACATCCTGAGGCCACTCCCTAGCACATCTCTGTGGGTGCTGAAGGTGGGGGTAGCTTTTCCTGTAACTTCAATTAAGCAATAGATCTAATCTACTTTTAATAAGCTCAATAATTAGCAGGATCCCTAGAGACTTCTTCAAACAAAAATATAGACGGTGGTGAGGAACTAGAACATTTCAAGCATTAAGTATATAGTGGGAAGATGAATTAAGTTTAGCATTAACAATGATCGGTGTTAATATCAAAATGAACCAAATGCCCAAGAAAATCTGATGTTTAATGTCACAAGACTAACAAGTTAAGTTT